GGTGCCGTCAGAATGAGAGCCCAAACAACTGATAAAAACATCACAATATCCTACAAGTAATCCTCACCACTCCAGTCCATCAGTTAACATCTTGAGAAGTGAAAAGCATCATGTGTGTAAGAAGCAAATCATTGTTCATTGTTGTTTCTTGTCTATTCATCCAAGTCCTCTATTCAAAATATTGTTTTCTCCAGTGAAAAAAGTTGTCTGGTTTGAATCAAAAGAGAAATATACACAGATCAAACACTAGCTGTTTACAAGTGAAAACAGTCCAAAACTGTTCTAAATTTGTATGTGAGAGGAGAACAGGGGATGAACTTTGTCACTATTACTATATATTGCAAATATAATTATTAAAAAAAAAAAAAAAACGTAATGATGAATTCAGTTCTTACAAACACATAACTTTTTACTTCATAAGGCATTGATGGATGGACTGGAGTGGTGTGGATTACTTGCAGATTTTTGTATAAGCTCTTTGGACTCTCATTCTGACGGCACCCATTCACTGCAGAGGATCCACTGGTGAGCGAGTGATGGAATGCTACATTTCTCCAAATTTGTTCCGATGAAGAAACTCTTGTGACATAATTTTCAGCAATGACATGCACTTAAAATTAATGGGATTGGAAGTTTTACTTGATAAATATAGATTTGCCGTTTAATTTATATAGGTTTTGAGGCACTTTGATACCCTCACACGCACACGCACACGCACACATAAACACGTTGGTTTAAATAAAGACATCAAGCAAAACTCTTTTTGCAATGGTTTTCAATTTTCTTTCAGAAATATACAGAGCCAAAGCATCATAAGATCACGGACCATTACAGGTAAAGTACATATTTTTAATGCTTTTACTGATAGAGAGAGTCACTGCAAGAAAATAGTGGTTAACCTTCTTTCATAACGCCAGTACATTACAGTATAATAACTTCAGAGCTGCTGGATTGATTTTCTCGACCTCAGTGCACACACACCATCTTTGTTACGGCAGTAGCATGTCACTTGAAGACTAACGAGATATTGTCTTGTGGAAACAAATTCTAAATAAAAATCTGATGAAGAAAGTGCTTGGGACAGGAAGAAAAGACACAATTGACACAAACCATTCAGAAAGAGCTGCCCATCATTGTACATAATGATATTTTCCTCTCTATTACGTACTGAACGTTTAACAGAGCACAAATCCTCAATGCAACGTGTTCATTGCGTACAGAAATGATTACACAATATTATGCCTATGCAGCCTCGACTGTAACCATCCTCAAACAAAACTTGCTCTGGGATCGTCATAATGGAGAGGCCTATATAAAACAGTATCATCGAGAGAGGGGAATTCATAACATTTCATCAGCCAGTAGCCTGCCTGGCTGTACTGAAATGTCAGGGGAGAAATGTAAAAGCCATAAATGTGGTCTGCTGTCTGCAGCTGGCAATGACCCTGTCCTATCATCCAGAGTGGTATTTGTTCATCTGTTTGGTTTGATTGTAAGTGCATGACCATCCGGTGCCTGAAGCGGGCAAGACTTGCGGTCCAGTGGGAGAAGGGATTGCAACTCACCAGGGCTGGGCGATAAGAAAAGTACACAGGCTACAAAAGAGTATGGAGAGCTACTCAAACAGAACAACAGCCCTAATCCAATATTTGCTTACAGACGCCATGTTCATTCTAGCACATAGCAGCTTCTTTACATGAATGGTGATCTGTTTTGGGGGATTTTTCAGTATTTTGCCATGTTTTAAGACTTGACTAGTTCATATGGTATAATTTGTTATGTCCATGTAAAATAATAAATATCCATATGGCTGTATACGGAGCCCCTAAAGGGACACGGTGGTGGAAAAAAAAATCGGGGTGGGAGGAAATTTTTTTTGCGTTCTCTCGCAAAGATATTTGCGTTCCCTCGAGAAACTTTTCGTTTCCTCGCAAATTAATGCTAATAACAATTGTAATATTAATGACCTCATTAATAGCATTACTATCAGTAAAGCAGATACTATAATGCAACGTTTCTCCCCCATTTAAACCCGTTAGGCTGTAGAAAACGCTCAAGGGAGGCTAATGGACGAAGACGGAATAGGCTAAAACCAAAATATGGTACACAGTTTATTAATAAAATATAGCATATTATGCACAGGAAAGCAGACAAGCCCAGAATAGCTATAAACAAGCCAAAACCTAATTTAAAGCGTATGGGCTCACGTACCGCCAGTGCCGATCCTAGATTTCTGGGGGCCCTACGCAAAACTGTGTCGGAGGGGACATTAAGGGACAAATATCTGATTTTTTTCCACCACCATGTCCCTTTAGGGGCTCCGTAGCTGTATTAGCAATGTAAAGTAGAAGATAATGCCGTGGCAAGGAATGGTACAGCAGCTGCCCTTGATTTGCATTATGTCTGGAGTTATGGGTAACTATTTTTCACCATTGTCCAGCATTAATTAATTTGAAATGATTAGCATTAAATGCAATTTAAAGCTGAAGTGTGTAATTTCTGTGCAACCAGCGTCACCGGACAGAATTGCAAAAATTATGACTCTTTTCAAACAGATTTCCTCTCTCATCCTCATCTGTTATTATTAGACAAACTAACAGGTAGCCACACCTCCAAACTAATGCCATTGGTTGAGGCATCGTTGCTATGTGTAGCTGGCCAGGATTCTCAAACAAACCGAGAAATGTTTTGTTAGCCACACACTGCTTACAAATGGCTCACTTATAGTCTCTGCTTATTAAACTGCAGTACAGGATAAAGTATGAAGAAATCCACACTTCAGCTCCCATGTTTAAAATGCATAATAGTATGAATTGAGAATTATGTTTTGGCATTTTGCATATTTACAGGGTACCCACAGCTATCTTCAATATTGAGTTATGCTCAGCTTTAAGGTATTTAATCTCACCAGCAAACAGCAATTTCTGGTCAATCTCCCTAAAATGATTTCTCCAGAAATCACAAAATGGTCAAAAGGTGTAGAAACCCTGGATCTAAATTCAGTGCATGTTGTTGTGTGCTGGAAGATTTCTATAGGTCCGTATATTTTCATTTCACCTTGCAGGAAACAGTTATCAATACAGAAAGACAGGCCAAGGTAAGTGTGTTATGGACATTTAATTTGAAACACTTCTCTGCCTATGGCTATAGCATTGGCTATGCTGAGAGTGGAAAAATATCAAATAAAAAGTGATTGTTTGTACAGTATCAGTGGTGTGATTTGCTTTCTGCACTCTATGAATCAAACTGACTAAAGAACAAAGCAAAGTAACTGCAAATTTACACACAGAGAGCATGAGGGATTTATATACAGTGTAGTAAGGACTGCGCTGCATTATCAGCACTGAAACAGGCCTTTTCGTGTTTAAGCCCCACAATGGGCACCAATCCATTTGTAAAATTAGACTCATCCAACAGCACTCATGTATGAAACCCATTGAAATGCCACAAATATAATCATACGTAAAGTGCTTACAGCGCCAACTGACTCAGCAGCGTCACGCCTTGCAGTGTTTCGGGTTGAAGGGAGCGATTGTCAGGTCGGTACAAATCAGAACTCTTCCTCTGGGTCAAAACCAAGATCTTTGCAGTTCAAGTGCGAGATGCCGCAGTTCCCCATGCTTGTTTATATGAGGGATTGCCTCTGGTCATATTTATCTTTATGAGCGAGGAGGAATGGGAGATAACTTGAAGAGGAGATAAAAGAGTGAAGTGTTGGAAGCTTTGATAAGCAAAACACACTGATAGCTTTTACGTCCAATCTGTTTCTCCAATCATAGGTCAGGACTGGAGGGTCAACTAAATGTAGATTCAGAGTGCCATATAACCTAGGAAAACTTTGGCAGTGAAAAAGGTGTCGGTATCACCGGATGCAAGCACAGTTGGTACTCATAATGGGATAAGCCTCAACCTTGTTATAAGGGGTCATTGGCAATTTCATACAATTATGCCACTTAATATAACACCACATTGATAATGGCTCTACTCTTGTCTAGCACTTGAAGCACGCTGCCATAATTTTGACTTTTTTTTTCTTTTTGGCAGTCTGAACATTTATCCCCAGGATAGCAATAACCAAAACGCATAACGAATTGGGAAATAGAGCAGATAATCTAATCAATCAAATGCATCCATTTCTTTTGGCAAAGCAAGTGGGTCAACATCATTGGCACTATAGCTTAAGTGAAAGTCTCTTGCGAAGAGCCCTGGAAGAGTTATGCTTTCAGAACAGCTGGAAATATGGTTTTGTCACTTTAATTGGCCGAATATCTCTTGTTTCCAGCTTTTCATACACCATTGCATTGGCTTTTGAGTAGTTTGTGTCTTTCTGCACATCATACATAGTGTGCAATGCTAGCTCGATTGCGTTAGCTTGATTTCAGTACACTGATTCGAGTCTAAGAGTGATTTTACTTTACAGGTGTCGAATGTAGAAGTGCTTGAGTTATCAGTAGTGCCGCAAGTTGCAATTTCAGTACTGTAAACTAAAACGTTGAAAAAAGGAAAAACAAAACAACATACATTTACATTAAGCATGAACACCCATACTCCATTCAAAAAACATGTACACAAATTGCTCACTTATAACAGTGAGAGTACTCAATGCTGTACAGTCCAATGGCAGCCACATGAACAGTAGACAGATTCAAACCACGTAAACTAAATTTGTGTTCTGCAAGACGTGTAACAAGCCCAGATGATTTATATGAATCAAAAGGAAGATTTGTAAGTATTATAATTCAACTTCACACAGCAGGACACAGGATATAGTACGTCTTCTTGAAATCCAAACATCATTGTTCCCATCATTGGCGCATGATTCACATCAACCCAAAGCAACCGTTATCGGAAATAATAGTATTTCAAAAAAAGAGAAAGACCCGCCTCTCATAACCACATAACCAGACGAGATTACATCATCCTTCTAGTTCCCAGTGCAAGTCCAATGCACTTTTTAAAACCATGTTGTTAAAACACTGAAAATAAAGAATGCTCAGAAAGAAAGAACAACAAAGTACACACATATATCTTCTCTCTGAATGATAAAGTGACAGCTCAGAGCCACATCTCATATTTGTATGTCAGAGAAACCTTTGTCAGAAGGGTCAGAATCCAAGAATTCTGACTGACTTTAGTTGTTAATTCAGTTCATACATTTCTTTCTTTCTTTTTTTTTTGTCCTTTTATATTTTTTCATTTGTTTAGCTAGCTGTGGTAGAGGCATTGAGGAATCTTACATACAGCTTTGACAGTTGTGCTTTAATGTACAGGAGCAACAGAGCATTGTCCTCTAGTGAATGGACCACAGAACTCTCTTCGAAGAGTTCATTTGAGCATTGTTGCTATGCTTTCTTCGAGGAGGTCATTCATTCAGAGCTGTTCCAAAGTTACTGGAACGACAGCTAGGACACTAGATCTGTTCAGGGTCTTGTGTCTTTCTCCATTGGCATGTGACATCACTGTGGCACACTGTTGTTTGGAGGAAGTTTTTGGCCCAGATATTTAGGGCATTCGGAAGGGTCAAGACAAGGTTCTGAAACCGGTAAGGCTTTTCAGAGCTGTAAATAAGATCTGAACAAATGAGGAAATTCACATATATCAAATAAATGTTCAAAGCAAAAGAAGTGGAGGATAAAATGAAACTGGTGTGCTAGATGTGCTTGAACTTGATCCTGATTCGCATCTGTGGGGTTGGGGGGATTCAATCCCCTTTGGCCAATCCTAGTGCTGGATTCCTCTGTCCATCTCCTGCAGTCAGACGTGGGTCTGCATGCGTTTCTGCAGTGGCCGTGTGAGGTCTGAGTTCTGGGACGATGACTGAGAGTAATGGGACGAGGAAGAGGCCGAGGCCGAGGCCTTGCTGTCCTTGTCGAACTGCACGTAGCCATCCTGCTTGCTGTAACTGCTGACGCTGCTGTCGCACTGTGTGTCCAGGAAAGAGCTGGAATCGCTCAACGATCCTCGCTGGAATTCTCGCTCGCAAAGCTCGATGGAACTGCTGCCCATTCCCAGCACAAACCGCTGGCTGTAGTCGTACAGGCGGTTGGGTCCAGCACCCAAGGTAGAGTAGATGTTGGTGAAAGACATTCCTGTGGGAACCCGCTGCTTGCCGGTGGTGGCTGTGGCAGGGTCTCGGCGGAGCTCTGTGGTCTGGTTCCCGGCCAGCGTGGTTGGGGTGCCATGGTGCTCCTTAAAGGTGTTCACACTGTAGTATCCATTAGTGGGGTCCTTTGAGAAACAATGTATTAACAATCAATGCCAATGAGCATATACACTAGTATAATGACAAAAAAAAAATGGTGGTAAAAGGTATTTCACACTGACAGTGAACTGATACCAGAGGGCAGTTGCATAAACTTGCAAGAACTAGTTTGACTACCTAGCAGTCAACCAAATGGTAATCAGTCTTACTTTTCGGATTCAAATTAGACCAATCTACGTTTTTATGTAACTGGTTTTAAAAAGTTATGACCAGTCTTGCAGGATTAAAAATAGATGACTAACTTTTAAGACTAGCTTAAGTTTATGCAACTGGCCACTGAAGCAATTCATTTTAAAGAGTTGCCAATATCTGAATCATTGGTGAGGGGCTCACCATTAGGCAAATAAGCGTCAAAGCAATGCAGTGTCTTCCAGTTGGAGTACATGCAGAGATCTGCTGCCATGCACAGATGCATACAGTTGAATGGGATTGACTACTAGACACCAAATGCACAAAGAGTTGGTAACCTCCTGCAATTCAGTCACTGTCAGTGTGAACGCTCCTTAAGTCTGTTATGATGCATTTCGAAGCTCTTATACTCAAACAAACAGTATCTGAAACTTTTGAAGACTCTACAGTATGTCAGCTGTTGGAAATTCAATCTCAATGGTACTTGTTTTGCTGTCAAACAATCAAAAAGTCTTAATACAATTGCACTCCTACCTATTTAGACAGGACTGGATGACCATGAGGAGGTTAGCTTAATTTGTATTGCAAAGACGTATTTTGTGATTTTATCTAATTACTTCTGTGTTATTCACATGCAATCTTGGCTAAAATTATTGAAAATTATCTTAGATAATTTGCAATAACTCAGCTATGCAATGCAGACTATTCCTTTTCTTTCTGCACTGCCATTACTTCTGTTTCGAAACATTAATAAAGGCAAGAAACATGCAAACATAAAACAAAGGTAAGAGACAAAGTGACAATCCTTAGCAGTAATTTCTAAAATATCATTATAGGCTAATTATGCAGAACCTTGATACACAATGTTGTTGTTAGTCTGCACTTTTCAGCTTTAATTGGACTTCAATATCATGGCTTTTTAAATCCATCACAGAAAGAAATAATCAAAGCGAAGGAACTTGATTCCATGGCTGCTGTCGTTGTCGTGGTGTTATATCAGCACGGTTGCTAAGAAGCAAAACAGGCGCCACAATGTGGACGTGAATGACATTTTGAGCGGATGCGCAGGCCATATCCCGTGGAGGAGAGGCGATAATCACCGTTAGGTGACTTCTCTATGACAATGCGAGAAAGGCGTTGTCAGGCAGGTTTTATCAGGCGACAGGGATTGTGTGCACTACGTATCTGTATGGAGCTGTCCCTGTTCACACTGCACATTTTACACACTCATCTACATGTAGGGAGGGAATCAATCCCGCAGGGAGCAGGTTGAGCGGGCCATGAAACTGACTTCAAGAATACCGTGATTGCACACTGAGATAAATACAAACAAGAGAATAATAGCTATGCAGCTTCTGTCAAGAATTGAAACTGCTTAACTGTGGGATCATATGTTAATCAAACTATAATTACGATAGTTATTCTTTCAGCTTACACTAAAATTAACTAAATTAGTACCTGGACACTTAAACTACTCAATGATCAGTGCAAATATGTAAAGGGTAATTATAATTGCTAATGAGGCTTTAATTCTTGAATAAAAAGGGTTTTGGCTGAACAAAAATGTAAATATACATCTTCTAAGAAATGTCCTGCCATAAACTACAAACACTCGTTTTTGCAGCAAACCATTTTTGGTTCCCCAAAGAACTAGTGAACAAATCTTAAAAGAACAATTTTTTTTTTCTTAGTGTGAAGAATATTTAAAACATCTGAAGAATCTTTTTCCACCATAAAGGACTTTTTGTGTAACAGAAATGTGCCATGGATGTTAAAAGTTCTTTATGGAATCATAGATGCCAATAATAAACCATTTCTTTTTAAGAGTGTAACTGTAATTTAAACAAACTTCTGAAGTCAACTCATTACACTCATATTGTTTTGTGAGGAAATTAGGCTACTCTTTAAGATAAATTAGGTTTCTACTAACTCTAAGTAACTACATGTCAACTAACTCATTATTTGCAACTACAACCCTGTTTGCACCTGGTATTAAGATGCATTTTGGTTGATCGGAACATAGTAGATGAAGGAGACACATTCCCATTTACACCTGGTGTTTTAATCCATCTCTTATGCCCACTTTCAGTCGTACACGTAACCTTTCAAAGTATAGTCCATTTGAGGTGTCCGTTAATACAGGCGGTCTATGCATGCGCTCTAGAAAGCTTCATCTTTGTGTCTGTACTATTTTTCTCCAGACGTTATGACTGTTACAAAGTAGGGCTGCACGATTAATCGAAATTAAATCGCAAAGGCGATAAATCGCGATT